GTGCTCTTCCGATCTCCCCAAAACCCCAAAACCCCAAAACCCCAGGAAGCAGTTTGTATTAAATAGAGGAAATCATTAAAATTAATTAAATCTTATCTAAACTAATGAAATTTGATAAAGCATTTAATCTTAATAGAGTTATTACTAGGTTTTAATTCTTGGAATTTTTCTTAAGAATCTAAATTAAGCTGCATCAATGAACATCTTAAAGTCCCTATTCAGTTTAAATATTCTCAATTTTTGCCTCAGCTATTTTTTCTTAATTATTCTTGGTACCATTGATTAATAGTTTCTCGGGTAAATAAACTATTAGAAGCTATGTTAATCCAATAAATATTAAAATGAGAGCTTGAATATCACTTGTTGTTCTAAAATTAGTTAATTAAAATACATATCCTCCAAATATTGGGCCGGATATTCCTCCGATAGCGTAAAATGAGTTAAATAAACCACTAATTATGTCCTATACCTACTCTGAGTTGTAATTTTTATTTTTCTTTGACTCTACTGTCTGTGATAAAATAGAAAATGGTGTAATCAAATTATAAGGAGAGGCAATACCTGTCAGCAATAGTCCAATAGTCATTATATAAATTTTTTCAGGGATACCAAAAAATTAGCTTGGACCAACTAGAAATGCTGCAAGAGCCTAGAAACCTTATGCTAAAATTACGATTAGTTAAGGATTAAATCTCTTTATTATCCTTGAGGCAAAATGAGTAGTAAGCAAGAATCCTACTGGTTAAACAGATTGTATTAAAGATACAACCCATGGCTCATATTAGTAAGTTTTCATTAGATGATCTGCAATTATGGTATCGTTATAGTAAAAAGTATGAAGATTTAAACCAACAGCAACGCAACCATAAAATCCTTTAGAATTAAATAGAATGTCTGAATAGGTAAGTAAGTCATAATTTGGTGCCTCATTAAATATATCTGAGCTTTATTCTTCAATTGGGATACTATGATTTTTTATTATTCCTATTTCAAGAGGCTACTCATCTTTTATATTAAGATCATCTATTACATTTGGATCTATTTTAATTATTTTCAAATCTCTGCTAAATGATTGATTTTCTTACAATAACGTTTTCTATGATTTCATTGTTTTATTGTCTTAATCTTTTTAAGTTTTAACTTGATTTTAAGTTTCTTTTGTTGGTATGAATTTTATTAGGCATTCTTAAAATATTGCAAAAAATAAGAAAATTAATGCTATTTATTTTAGTTAAAATAGAATTTATAAATTACCACAAAATGCGAACGGGCCAATAAATCCTAATATATAGGATAAAAATGAGGAAAATACAAGTCCCAAGAAACCACCTCCAACTATAAAATTATTTTTTAAGAGTAAATCAAAAGTTTACCTGCTCCAAATTCAATCCAAGAAACAAGCTGCTTTTCATATTATGAAAACTAAATCTAAAGCTCAGAGTAGACTAAATAGTTTAATTAACTCTTGATTCAATTTCGGAAAAATTACCAGCTGTTTATAATAAGCCAGCTCCAAAGCCTTAAATAATTCTAGAAAAAAATCCGAAAACTAGAAAAACTGGGCTAAAAAATTATACGGCATTTAGTATTACATATTGTTTATAAAGCTCATGATTATATACAAAGAAGCCGCTAGAAATTATAGAATTAATGCGATTCAAACCATGAATTTTCTTCCTAATCTTCCTTAAAGCTTCCCAGCAATTAAGGATGAACTGAAAAAGCATATTGTATAACATCTATAAAAGGTAAAATTTATCAAAGAAAATCTTGCATATATAAAGGAGTGAAAATAGTTATTGATATCTCTTTCAACTGCAGCTATTCAGGTAGGAATGGCGCAAGTATTAAGAAGAATCCCTCTTTGACACCGTTTATAAATATAAGACAAATCAGAGTTTAATTGACTTTCATTAAATAATTTATATGAAAAATACTTTATCTAATTTACATAAGCATTTTTTTATTTAGTAAGTCTTTAGAGCGTAATAAGTATAGGGGTTTTGGGGTTTTGGGGTTTTGGGG